TCCTTTTCCTTTTTCCTTCCCTTTTTATTTATTTTTCCTTTAATTTTTCCTTTCTTTCCTACTTGTTTTCTTTTTCTCTCCTATTTCTTCCTTTCTATTTTTTCCTTGTTCTTAAATTTTCCCCCTTTCCTTCATTTTTTTTTCCTTTACACCTGTGCTCGCACAGAGACAAATCTAAATCCAACTGCAATCTAAGGGAGATTTTTAAATGACTTTTTGGATCAAGCCTGGAGTTCTCTGCAGGGAGCAAGAATGGGAGCAGGCAGGATTTACATTTCATGGCTTTTAAAGAATCTGAAGTGTGGGGAACGGCATTTGCCGAGGCTGAGTTTCACAAGTCTATGTGGATGTACCTCGGAATGTGTATGTGATTAAGCTTAAAGCCCTTTTCTGTAAGAAAGCAGGCAGATTCCCTTTCCTGCAGCCTGAACCCTGCTTCTCYAATTTTGAAACAAAAGTTCTTGCCAAGGCCTTGGCAGTGCGATGTCASTGCTAAAGGGGATGGAATCAGGGTTTTTGTTGGTGTCGTCTTCCAAAGCTGAGGTGTCTCCACTGCAAACAGCCCCTGCCCCCTCAAGCACTGAGAGCCGTGACAGCGAAACATTAACGGCAGTAAAAAYGAACCCAAAATTGAACCAAACAAGACCTAGGATTTTTTTTCTCTTCCCCCTTCCCCCCAACTTAACTGCTTCCAAACTCCCCGATGAAAGTATTTTAATATGTAGGAAGAGCTGCTGGAGTCTGCAATGCGATTCAGTGTTCTGTGGTGTGGGATGAACAGATTTTCCTTTCCGTAGGGTTTCCTCCTGCAAAGTCATTGTAGAGGAGGGAATACTGTAAGATTAAATCTGGTTAAAATACTATATTCATGTCACACCAGATACGGTCTCCAGACTGTGCACAGTCTTTCAGCTTCCTTTATTGTGAAATCCTTTTAAAATAGCACAGTATAGTGTAGAGAACTTATTGAAGTATAACTGTCTTACACCAACTCTGTCAGATAAAATGAAGGAAAGTGATCAGGCTTCTTAAATTAATAAATCTGCTTAGTGTCTCTGTCTGMCTTCACGCTCTCTTACTGTCTTTGACTCTTTCTTTATTAATAAACTGATAGTTAAATAAAGCTGCTAAGTGAAGCAATGCACCTTGTCGGYGGAAGAGGGTTGGAGCCTCCCGTTCCAGGTCTGCTGTGCTGTGAATGGTTGTGGGTTTAGGGCAGGGATGGCTGCAGCAAAGACTAAAAGCAGGGCTGACCACATCAGTTTCTGGATGCTCTTCAGGTGTGAGGCTTGAGTACCTGTTCCTCTCAGCCCCCTGCATTAATAACAGGATGAATTAACCGATTGGCATGAAAGGAGAGGTTGTCCTGAGGAAAATGACACCAAAGGTCCAYAGGAGTCATTTGCTTTTAGAGATCCCGGGCCAAGTGCCAAGTATTGCATTTATGAAAGCACCATCCCCTTTCTCAAAAAAAACCCACCAACCACACCAAACCTGAAAGAAAAAACAAAACAGTGCAAAATAAAAAGGCAACATCCCTTTCAGTGGGGTCCTTTTAATGAGGGGGGGTCTTTCAACAGAGGACCTTTGGGTGGGGTGTGGGACAGAGATGATTCAGCTGGGGCTGGCAGTAAATGTGCTGCCGACTTTTGTTTTCAGAGCTGCAGAGCTAATGTGGAATCAAAATGCTGGAAAAGCGCCTATAGTTTGTCTTGCCTTCTTTTTTTTATTCAAGTCGATCAGACTTGTGGTTTATTCTTGGTCTGATTATGCTGCACGGTTACAATAAATGGATGGAGCTCAAGCATTCCTGCAGGCGCTTTATAGGAAATATGTGTGTGTGCCCGTGTATGCACACTCAGARAGAGAAAGTTGATTGTAAGGGGCACAACAAAATATCCATATTTAAAAAATGTAGATTGACTCATTGACTTATCTCACTTATTGTACAAAGATTCACCCTATGTTGAATTTTTTTTATTTTAAATTAGATTTTAAATATGTGTTGACAGGATGAATTTTTACCGTGTGARTAACTGCAGGGGGAAATGACAGCTCTGCTTTTGTTATTAAACTACTGTCTTGAAAATAATGGAGTGTGTACAAAAATTGATTATTATTTTGCCAATTACATTAGTGCAGCTAATAACGATCATTAAGAAATAYAGAAAGCTACACCCTTTCAGATCTTAGAAACTGATATTCACTGGTGAAGCTAAAATAATGTTTTTAAGATATTTTGTCAGTAAGAATCTCCTGTTATTAATGTGAAGTAAATACTAGATGTGTGAGCTGGAAATGTTTCACTTCAAACTGTGTTCATTTCTTCTTCACTCAGTGAGAGTTAATAAACAGTACAAGAGACTTTCKAAATTTAATTTAGGATTTGCATATAAAAGGTCCTATTCTGTACCATAGTGGCACAACAGACAGGCTTTACAATGTTAAATATTCCTTTTAATAATAGTTTATTTTAATATATTTACTAAATTAGGTACCCGAGAGAATCATCTACAACGGTGATGTGAAAATCCCTGTTACCTGAGGTCAAAAAAAAAAAAAGGTATGTTTTCCTTTTCATTAGCAATTTGACATATTTCAGCAGGGGTGGTAATTTCACTGCTTTGTTTTCTGCTGCTAAGATGGTGCTTTCTGCTCCAGCCCCGGGGAGCCGGTGACAGGCTGTGGCGCAGTTTCCTGGGCTTTTGGGTGAGGCTGACTTTCAGGTGCCTACAAGAACCACTTGCAATGATGGGGCTTTGTACTTTTGTCAGCCAGGCAACTCTCCCGTGTCCCACAACTCATATATAATCCTTTGCAAATGTTTTCTTTCTTTTTCTTCAAATGCTAKCGTTCAGACATCAGCTAAGGGGATWAAGGATGGGTTCTTCTGAAGATCTGCCTCAGATCTTGATGAAAATCATGAGTCTGTGTTAGATGACTTCAGTACTTACAAATTACAATAGAGTTTAATTCACAGCACTGCTTTCCTCTGGAAATTCATGTTCATTCAATCTGTCAACATTGACTAAAAAATATGCCGCTAATGAAAATGTGGGAATTAAAACTTTCAATCCCTTCCCCTGCTAGACTCCAACAGGCACTTTATTTTTTTTTCCCGTGGAATCTGATTTTTATTGACCTTGACTATAAAAATACTAAGTGGGTTAAATGAGCACCAAGGTTGCAATGACAGATTCCTGTGTGAATTTTTTTTTATGAAACCTCCTATTTTAGTTAAGAACACAGGCTGCCGTACAGCCTGCCWTGCTTTGATCAATGGTTAAGTGCTGTTAGAAACTGCTGAATTTTATTAGCTCATGGAATTAAGCTTGTTTAAATAACAGATTTATTTTTTATCTTTAAAAATAAATGTAAATAATTAAAATAATAGATTTATTTGTTAATTTTGAAAATACATTTGAATAACAGATTTATTATTTAAAATTTAAATAAGTATGGAGAGGATGTAATTGGTGCTCTAAACTAAACATTAAAAGGAACTGAGTGGAGTTTTTGGTAGTTTATATGGTTTAGAAATAGTTTTCTCAAGGAACACTTGAGGACCTTTGTTTTGAGCCTGATTTTCCTCTTACTTCCCTGGAACACCCTGGGTAGGGTTTTGCCTGCAGTGCTTTTTTTTTCTGCATTTCACCACTGTAAATGGGAGAGAAACCAGACCTCTTAAGTTTTTTGGGATTTTTTTGATGAAAACTTTGAGTGCAAAATGTATTTTTTTCAAGAATAGTGCCAAGTTGCTATTCAGCTGAAGTAAATACATGAAGTGTGTGTTTTAATTACAAAGGTGCAGCACATGTTTCATCAACTTTCTCCTGGGGAAACATTTCTAATTTCAATAATTCCATAGGAAAACTTGTCATGCTTCCTGTAATTCATATATGTGACTATTAGATTTATAGAAATAGGTTATATGTATATATGTTCTTGTAATCCACATAATAAAAAAGGAAATCTTTTTCCCTTATTGACACTTGTGATCTCAAGACTTGCTTAGCCTGCTGTTCTCTGGGACAATTCCTTGTGTCTTCCTTCAGCATTTTGTGGTTATTTTTTTCCCATATTATAGACAAGAAAAACCAACAAAATAACCAGCAGCAAAATCTGTTAGTTTTAAGCAAATAGCTCTTGGGTCTCGGAAGAGTTAACAAACTTTTATGGCAAGGTTCAGACAGTTCTGACCCCTATGGTAATATTTCATATAAGGTTACTGYTGGGAGAGAAATCAAATTTCAGCTGTGAACATGATTGACAGGTGAAAGCAAGAGAGAGAAAGACATCTGGTCAGATGGGGAATTTGGGCAGGAGAAGGACAATTCAGGGAAGTGTCTCTGTGATATTACGAATAATAAGCTTAGATATGAAAACTCCGATCCTCCACTCCTTCTGGAGGAGAGCTCACTTGATATTCATGGAKGTGGCTTGGTTGGGGGAATTTAAGACTGTACATTTATAGTAGTGGACAGYAGTCTCCATGGTCTGACTTACTAACTTGGCTCCTTTCAAGGATTTATGTTATTTCTGGCAAACTTTTAGGATTTCAAGGCCATTTATTTCATGAGTGCGGCTGGAGTATTTGGTGGTTGCTGGTTAAGAGGTTCTCACCATAATGTTTCTGGCAGCTCAGGCAGCAGCAGGGGTAGTGGAGGTCAGTGGTGGTGTCACTCCGTGCCCTCCAGCCTGCTGGGACTGCTGAGAGTTTTCAGAGCAAGCTCTGCAGGATGAATTTTGTGTTTATGATATACACTGTTATACCAGCAACAAAATTAGTTGCTGCCATATAAAATACCACGAAAGGGTCCATTGTGGTGTTTTATAAGCARCTGTTATTTTCCAAGGGCTGTGTTTTGTCTTATTCCAGCTCCCAGCAGCACCAGCTAATGTCCCTCACAATACATACATAACCCCAGGTGTATTTCAACTGTGCTTCAGTGTATTTTATTTGGTGCAGAAGAGGTTTTTCCATCCTCTGATATCATGGAACCAACAGAAATAAAATATCCCTCTTCTTCCTGATCAGCATGATGATGTTGGAAAGSAGAATTTGCTTCTGACATAAAAAACTGTAGCCAGGCTTTCTCTTAAAAAAGGGCAAGAAAAAAAAACGTTGGTTTTTTATCACTGTGTGTAACAATGTTTCGGCTTTCAAATAGGCTCTGAAGGACTTTTTTAGAGCTCCAAGGGCAGGATGAGGCAATGATGGACCCTGGGATCTAAACTGCATCCTACCCGCATCCCAGATGAGAGATCCTGGGTGGGCTTCTGGCCCCACTGTAGGTTTTGGTAAAATCTCCCCTGAATTCCTGGGGCCCGTACTTTGACCACAATGGGAATATCTACAGGGATGCTGTACTAATAAAAAGCAAAATCTGAACTCATACAGCGGCAGCTGAGCTGTGAATTCCCTGGATGGATGTTCTTATTTGGGAGTCAGGGTGGATTTCCCCCCTCCCCAGTACAGCTAAGCTGCTTTCAAAATAAAATAAATGAACCAGGAAAATCCACTCTTATTCCAGAGTAGGAGTGTCCACCCAGGCAATGGATAGCACTGCAGTATAGTTTACTTCCTAATTTCCCCGTATGGATGAGACCTAAACTAAGGGGAAAATAAGGAGCAGTAAAGAACAGAAATGCATTTTCTGTTCCTTTTCCAGTTTGCCTCTAAGACCTTTCACACAGGGGAAATCATGGCASTCTGAAAATACACATTTACTTACTTTTCACTGCTATTCCTGCATTTGCACATGCATTTTTAAAAGAGATTTGTGTTTTGTGCAAGACCTTTTRCATTCTCATACTATTCATGTGTATTTCTGATGTGCAGCTGAGTCTGTCTATTGTTCGTGACATCATTTCTCATTTTATGGCCATGTCTTGTGATGTCAAACTGCCCAGCTTCACTGCAAAATAGATCTTGTTTTTATTCCTAGACTGTACATCTGATAAAATTGAAAATTAGAGCTAAGAACTGTAAAAGCAATCAAATCTCTTTGTGCATGAGCGAGTTATTTTTAACTTTACGTTGTTGAATTAACACTCCCTGTAAAATGTCTTTATTTTCCGAGGCTCATATCAAGATAACTTCCATGAAATATTATTGGCAAACTTCCCGCAGCAGTCAATGGGAGCCTTGTATGTATTTTTCAAGCAGATGTGCTGTATTAAACCTAAATGAGAATCTTTTTTTTATCAAATGGGATGCAATATGTTATTCTTGATTAAAAAATTCATAGTAACYTCTCCCCCTCCCTTTCCTCTACCCAAACATATTTTGTACAATTTACAGATCATTTCATATAGGTAAAAAATAAGTTCTTGAATGTTTTTTTAAAAAAAGCAGGATTTTACTATGCCTCAAACTCCTTTCTAGCTCATTCCTATGAATTTGAAGTAYGAAAATGTCTCGAATCTTTATGAGTGAAGGTATATGCCATAGGTAACAGCTTTTACTCCCCTAAAATTCCCAGGAAAGTCAATTTAATATTTTTCCCTGTGTTTAGAGTAAGCTCTAAAATATTTTCCAGTGATGTAGTTCTTGCTGTTGTTT